AATTGAACATTTTCAGGACACCAAAATAACCCAATATGTTATGGTAATATGCCCATTATAGTAAAATTCAAAGCCTTCTCAAAGATTGATTGATTTTGGCGATTTTAGCTAGAAAGTGTATCTACCAATTTCAAACATTGTAGTTTTTAAAGTGGGTAAAAGTAATTGAATTGATTGAACCATAAATCTTGTGGGATTTGTGGTCATTCATTTGTGAGCTACCATTCCTTCATATACTTGCTTGCCTTCTAGATCGCCTCCAACATGGGAGATAATTGGTGGTTTCGTGTTGATCGGTGCTGTTGTACTCTCTGCAAGAACGAATCTGGCTCGAGGAAGAACGATTTCGATGCTTACGCATCACTGCGGCACGCGGAGAACCCTAAATGCATCCAGCTAGGCGCTGACGTGTTCAAACTATGTGGCACTGACATGAGCCACGTCACTATAATGGTGCTCTGTTTCCTAGGGTTTTAGAAAGCGCTCTTTCTGTCCGCTCTTGCTGCATTCTCGGTCGAAATCTGTGCGTTCTCGGCCGAAATCTACTCCACTTGGTCAGCGCTTCACTTTCTTGACAAATCTCTGCACGATTAGGGAAAATTTCCAAGTTTTCATGGTCGATCAGCAGCGCCAAATGCAGGAGAGGAATGCCGCCCAGGAAGATCCGCAAGCCATACACCATCACAAAGTCGCGCGAGAGCTGGACTGAGCACTACAAATTCCTTGTGGCGCTTCAACTGTGAGTTTTCCTTGGCACAATCATGGCCAAGAAGCAAGGGCAAAGATTATACGGTAGAGTACGTTCTTTCATCACCATGCTGATCTTTCTTGTAGGCTTCGAGAGCAGGGTTTTGCCACTTTGCTGCTGCAACTACGTCTTGTCCAAGCTGGACGAGGTGAGTGTTCTGGTATCCTTCTAGACTTGTTTGATTCTGATTTTTCTTTCCAGTTGATGGCCGCAAATGCTGCGACGACTGAGTGGGAGGATCAAGAGGAAACACTGGCACGTCTACGTCTAACACGTAAGTTTTGGAGAGTTGGATCTCTCTTTTTTTTTTGGAGAGTAGGAACCCAACAAGCGTGATGGCTTGTTTCTCTCGTGACAGAACACCCCAAGTTAACTTACTGGATCTCTTGGACGTGACCAAGATCTTGCTGGAGCTAGTCTACTCCTGGCTGCTGCTTCAGCTCGGGCGCAACGAGCAATCCTTGTTTCTCCTGGACAACTTCGACTACGAGGATCGGCCAGATCGCGCTAGCTTAGCGAGGCTGAGACAAATCCACAACAGCTTGAGCAGCAGCCTGATCAGGATCGAATGGAAGTCAACGAATGTATTGCCTGGTGTCCTCCAGATGCTCGAGGTACTGTTGGTGTCCAAACTCTTTTTTCTAGGAGCTCATAGCTGCGCATGATACGATTGGTGATAATCATGTATACGGCAGTCATGGTGCGACCACTCGCGGTCCTACAATCGCTCCCGCCGGTGGAAGCGAGCCTTCTTCGACGCGAGCGAGTAAAAAAATGTAATAGCAATCTGAAAAATGACCAACTCAATTCCTACAAAAAAATTCCACAAAGATTATTCCGACAACAAAAGTGGGGTGGTAAAATTTTGGCCACCAGATAGGGATATCACTAATTTGTAATTTATTTGAAGTGGTGAAATCGTGGTTAATGAAAAATTTCCATAATTTTTAAAAAAATTACGGTCAAAAACCGGCAGTGATAGGTATTTATGGACAACAAATAGTAGAAATATGCGAGCATTAAAGAGATTTGGAGTTTTATTACCTGGAATGACTTGGATCTTCAAAGCGAGGCCAAAAGCAACTGACAAATAATGTTTGGCTACATGAGCCATCTTTGTTTAGACGTTAGCTCAGAGAAAAGCCAAGGTGTAACTTATCAGCTATCGTGGCATTTGCTATTCCAGCTTTTATATCGTCCAATCACACTTAATTGACGAGAAACTTAGCAAAAAATAACAAACATGAATAACATGTCCTTTTCTTTTTAGATAGACTACCACTTCTTTGAGTTGAAAAGCCTCCCCCTTTTGAGCGCTGATAAGTAGCATTAAATCTTGATTATAGAAAAGTTTAAAGAGCAACCGTTGGATTGCAGTAAAATACATTTGGATATGATAGGTGTATTCCTTTCCCCTTTCTAAAAAATCCTGAAAACCACCTCGTTTTTCTTTCATATTTACAAGGAAGTTCCGATGTCGTGAACGCGTCCAGAGGCCCGCCTCGAGCTTGAATACGAATGCCTGCTGCCGATCGAGGACGATCTCTCGGGAGGAAGAGCAGTAGCACCAGCCGGCGGAGTCGAGGGTGGCAAAGGAAAAGTTAGCGTCTGGGACCTCAAGATCATGTCCACCATGGACGGAGTTTGATAGTCCCGGCTGTGGGACTCGACGTAGTCGCCCCGAGCAGTGGCACGCTGCCGGAAGTGAGAGCTCTGAGCCGAGAGAATGTAAGCCCGGCCGGAGCGCTCGTACATTTGCCTGTTTGCCATCCTCACCTGGATCTCCGTCAGCTCCGACTCGAGCGCGCTCGAGAGCTGGTCGCCGGCAAGCGACGCGGCCGAGTTTCTGAGAGCCACCTTGGCGCTCTGGAGCGTTTGCTGGGCTCCGACAAGATCGCCCCTGTCCGCCAGGCATCCGGCCTCGAGGATGGTCTCCGCGGTGCGAATCCTGTTCCTCTGCCTATCCACCTGCACGCTCACCACTTGGTTCTCCCTGTTGACGCTGCCTGGCCGGTCTATGGACAGTGTCTTGGTTCTCGTGCGAGCCGGCTTCTGGAGAACAGGATCCTTGAACGAGCAATCGACACTGACGATCCCGGCTGAGAGCAGCGGACTTTCGAGCATGGGGATTCGGAACTCCAGAAGTACGTCCCTTTCTTCTTCGGCGTACAAATCTCCCAGTTTGACAAAGCCGCGGGTCCCCTGGTCAGTGATGGACCTCTCGTAGCTTCCTGCCTGGACGCTCTTCACCTGGAGGTTCTCCCCCGCCGTGGAGAAGCAGAGCCGTGCATCTTGGACGACGACACTGAGGAGGCCGCCAATGCACTGAGCGAAGGCATCCTGAACGGCCGTTTCCGCTTGGATGAAGGAGAAAGTACCACCCGAGCTCTCGGCTATGGAATGCATCGTCGCCGAGTCGTGGTCGGCCCCGAAACCAAAAGTGTGGACTGGAAACGAGACGCTTCCATAAGGCATCATCAAGTGCCTCCCAGAGCCTAGCCCCCGACGAAAGCTGCCACCTCTGGATAGCTGGGCATTAGCTCGAGCACCCAAGCTGTGAGTGTCTTGGCCGTCCGAGAGCAGCATGATACTTGCGATTGGATTGCGTTCCCTCCTGTCGTCCAAGATCTTGGCACCTTTCTTCAAGCCTTCCGCAATGTTTGTTCCTCCAGTCGAGACTAGCGCGTCAATGGCCCGGAGCGCAAGTTGCTTGCCATCTTCGACCATACGACGCAGAGGAAACAAGCGCTTTGCGGTTGACGAAAACGCTATCACCGAAAGCCTGTCCGAGGGGCTCAAGTTCCGAATGACGAAGCCCATCGCCTGCTTGAGCAGCAAAAGTTTGGTCCCAGCCATGCTCCCACTCACGTCCAGGACTGTAACAAGATCGATTGGAGCTCGAGAAGTTGTGTTTGATGACAAAGCCTGAGTGCTTACAGTCTCAGCTGCTGGCCGCTTGTTTCCAGATAATGCCTTGACGTGAACCAGTACCGTAAAATCATCTCGTGACTCGGAGTAGCAAATGCTCTCGACTTCGGGGTGACAGGTTACTTCAAGGTTGCCATCGTCCGAATTTACGAGGTCTGACTCGCTGCTTTCTGCTCCTCCAGCACTCAATTCCCCACCTCCGTCCACTCTCAGAGGCTCGTCGTCATCGAAACTCTGTGGCTCTGGGGTGCTGTTCCTTCTGATTCCTCGAGCACTTGCAATGGACTCATCTAGAATTCTCAGCACGGGATCCAGCCTTCTCAATTCTTCGTCACCGACCTCAGCACCCTCTCCGTTGTTAATCCCTTCCTGCTCAGAGTTCCTGGAAAGGCTTCGTCTGGGTCTCGGCGAAAGCTTTTGATCCTTGCCTGCTTCTGGAGGAGCCTGCCAAGGAACCTCCTTCCATCTAGCTCGACAAACCGGACATACCAGATTTCCATGCCGTACATTGGAAGCAATACACGAGAAGTGGAACGTATGAGAGCACTCGGCTGTGAAAAGAGCATGGCCAAGTCCGGGCTTCATGGGCTCCAGGCAGATGGAGCACGCACTCTGGAAAAAGAAAACAACAAAAAAAAATCGGCTTTGAGAATTGAATCTGAAAAAAAACAAAAGGAAACAAAAATTGCGACTCCACAAAATAAAGATCATACCCGAGAGAGACGAATGCTACTCCGGAGCAGCTGGAGACGAGAGGGAGACCTTGCAGAAGTATTCGGAGCTCCAGATCTGGGAGAAGGAGAAGGGGAGATGGCTGGAGACGCAGCCTGATCCACATCTACACCGCCTTCATCATCAGGATCATGCGGAGCCGAGACGCAAACATGCAGCCCGAGAGCAATTCTAGCCTTTCTCCAGCCGCTAGCCATGCTTGTAGAGCAGGAGAGAAAGAGAGGAAGAACGCCCCTCACTCCTTTCTGCTAGCCATCTCCGTCTTCTTCACTCCAAACGGGAGCATCTTCTTCGCCGCCTCAACGGGTCAGGCAAAAATGCCCTGTTGGTGCAGCTCACCCATCTTACACCGTCCTGTTAAGTCGAGCGGAAGGAAAACGTGAGCTTGAGAACTTGTCGCTACTTCCTAGAAGAAACCATGGAGAGAAAAAGAGGAGGGCCAACGGGGAACTTACCGAAAATGATGAGGCTACCCTCATGTTTGACTGTGTGCTGTACCAGCACTAGCGCCACACACACAAAGTAGCTCCTCCTTATAGGCGAGAGATTCCCTGACCCAAGCAAAAAAAAAAAAAAAAAAGGGAGAAAAAGAACGAGCCAATCCATCAGCAAGGAGATTAAAACAAATCATTCACTGGAACACAGCTTTCTGAATCCACCAGCAAGGAGATTAAAATAAAATCATTCGCTGGACTGGAGCACAGCGAATGTTAGAGAAAGAACTATAGTTGATAAGCAAGAACACCAAGAACGAAAGGTAAGAAATAATCAAGCCCCAAACAAGAAAGACCCAAGAATTTGATTAAAGCAATGGTAAGAAATGCGAAGATCAAGGCCCAGAGAGGAGCTGACCTGTAGCGATGTAGCCAGCAGTGAAGCATGTGGCCGTGCTCCACTAGAATGGAACCAATCGAGCTGCCGCCACTGACGATTTGTTGCTTGCTTGGCTTGGCCCACTCAGCATTCACCCTCTTTCCTCACCTCCTCATTGCGCGATTGATGATCGCTGCTGTGCTACTGCCACGGATGTCGCAAGTTGCGCATTCGCGCGCGGATAATGCCGTGTGGATCCGCCAGCGCCGGCTTAGCTAAAAATTCTAGGGCTTTGGGGGGAATCTGACGGAATATGCTCCAATAACCAGCGGGCGTGGAATATACCGTTAGCCGGGGGGATCTTTTTTGTTTTTGTTATGTTTTTTGTAGCTCTTCTTCCATCTTGAGCCTTTGCTTGAGCGCCTGGAGCGAGGTGAAAACGTCGGGGGATAAGTTGTGTTCTAGCAATTTGCCTTCCATCGAGTATGGCCTAAAAGTCACAATGTTAGATTGGGTGATTGACTCAATGCGCTTGCTGATATAAACATCACCTGTCGGAATGTAACAGCTGCTCCAATTCTTTCCTCACGTCCTTGATCTAAACAAGCAAACTGAAACGCTCAGGAACTTAAAAAGCCATTGGCTTTAAAGCTGAGGTGAGCGTCTCACCTCTCCAATCAAACCTTTGCAGCTCCATACATACGCACCCTGTCAAAGACCCGAGAAAAAAACCAGTAAGAATCTTTGCAGAAAATAAGCCATTGTTTTGTTCTCTGACTTTCACGAATTTACCGCGCCGTTTGCAACCTGCTGATGAAGGGAATCGGACGTTACGACTCTGATCTTGGGGCAGCCGTCGTCTCTCAACAAGTAGACCTGCCGAAAGATATCAGTCAAAGCGGAAATTTATGTAGCCATGATGCAGGAATCATCTAAAGTACCTCACGCTCGATCCATGAATCGGCGCAAGCGTCGGCCGCAAACACGATGTCAACACTGCAGAAACAAAGCGTAATCAAATCCCAGAGGACAAAAAAAGAAACCAAAAGGAATAGAAAGAGGTCGAGTGGAGTCTACCTTGCTCTGGATTCTCTGTGTGATGGCAGACCCGATTCCTTTGCATCGAAAACAACCACCACTTTCATTCCTGCCAGCTAGAACGAGGGCTGCGGTTATAAAGAAGAGAAAACAAAACAAGAGAGACCTCTTGCTGCGCCGAAGGTGACGAGCTCGTCAATAAGCTTCTCTCGCGCACTGAGAAGATCACCTCTTGCGAAGTGTTTCTTTAGCTTGGGCCAGACGCCACACATGTTGTATCCATCCACGAGAAGCACCGGTTTAATTATGGTGATTTCTTTCCCGCAGCTGGATTGGATCACAGGGAAAGTATCGTGAGAAAGAATTCCCCAGCTCACCAGAAAAACTTCTAGCTCAAACATCTTACTCGATCACTTGTGTTGCCGGATCCTCGTAGCTCTCAAAATCCTCAGGCAAGCTCTTCTTGTCCACCTTTTTCTTCCTGTAGCTTGTGGCTGGCTTGGCTTGTTTGTTTGCGTTGTTTCCAAGCTCCTGAAAAGAGAACGACAGCGTAGAGATAGAATCACACGGTAGAAACTCTCTCTCACGAGAGCTGCCTATAGTACCTTGAGCATTGTGAGAAGCTTCAAGCTCGTCTTGACGTTGGAAGTGATTCTCGGCGGCGAGCACTGAGCAAGAGAAGCGCAAGAGATTCTCTCTCTCTCCGGAGAATGTCGGTGTCAGAAGAATCGAGATTACCTTCTGTAGATCGGCATGAGCACGAATCTGTTGCAATGGCGCCAGATGCGATCGCAAATGCGTCATCGCTCTGCCTCAATCGGCAGCATTGCCGCCTTGACAATCGCCCTCGCTCTCTTTCGCTCTCGCGAGGACGAGGGCAAAAAATCTCTCGCCACTGGTTTATATCCAAAATACTTCTTACGTGGTTAAAGCATGGCCATGGAGTTCTTGCGGTTTAGGGTTTTGGTTTTCCCTCGCTCGTCCAGGTATGTTCCTTCCACCCTACATTCCGGATGGATTGCCTCGGCAGGAAGCATCCATCTCCAAATGCCGCGAGAAATCCAAAGAACAATCACAAACGCTGCTTCCAGTGCTCCGCCAAGGGCCATTTCGCGGCATTCCGATTCAAGGGCGCGGCTTCTCGAATCCAGGCTCGAGCTAACAGCGGCAGCCAGAGGAGTTCTTCCAGCGAAGCGCTCCAGGCGTACATCAGGACTTACACCTCGGAAGAGTTTGAGATCCACAAGAGCTCCGTGGAACTTATCTCGTCGCTGCTGAGAAGGAAGAGGCCGGGCGATGATCTTCGGAAGCTCCTGGATGGATGCTCGCGGCTTTTGGACCCGGATGTGGTCGTGGCTGTCATGAGAAGATCTTCCAGGCCGGATCTGGCTATCCAGTTCTTCGACTGGGCCGGAGAACAGGACGGATACAAGCACGACGTCCACTCCTACAACCATCTTTTGGATATCCTCGTCAAGAGTGGACACCAGTTTAGAACAGGGAAAGTCTACAAGGATTTGCTTCACAGTGGCTGCTCGCCAAACCTGGTGACTTTCAAGATTTTGATCCGCGGGAACTGCAAGGCAGGACAAGCGACGAGAGCACTGGAGTTTCTCCGCGCTCTCGATGAGTTTTCAGTTGCTCCAGACGTTTACATCTTCAACTTTCTCATTCATGGCCTATTCAAGGACGGGAATCCGGATCAAGCAGTGAAGTTGTTTGAGAATATGGAGAGCTCGAGAGTGAATCCGGACATCTTCACGTACAACACGGTTATAAGTGGCTTGTGCAAAAGTGGAAACCTGGAAAAAGCGAGAGAGCTGCTGGAGGAGATGATCCGGAGAGGAGGGAAGAGTGCTCCCGACATTGTGACTTACAATACGCTGATCAACGCGTTCTACCGAGCTAGCAGGATCCGAGAGGTGTGCGAGTTCCGAGAGAAGATGAAAGCCGCGGGGATCAACCCCGACGTGCTGACTTGCAACATACTCGTGAGCGGGATCTGCAAAGATGGCGATGTTGAAGAAGCTCTCGAGATCTTGGACGGCATGAAGCTCGCAGGCCCGGCTCCCGATGTGATCACGTACAACAGCATCATCCACGCGCTGTGTGTGGCCGGCAGGGTCGTCGAGGCAGCCGAAATCCTCAAAACCATGAGCTGCAGCCCGGACTTGGTCACTTTCAATACCCTGCTCGATGGCTTCTGCAAGGCCGGCATGCTCCCGCGGGCTCTGGAAGTTTTGGAAGAGATGTGCCGGGAGAACATCCTCCCGGACGTGATCACGTACACCATCCTCGTCAACGGGCTATGCCGGGTGGGACAAGTCCAAGTCGCGTTCTATCTCTTGGAAGAGATCGTACGCCAAGGCTACATTCCCGACGTGATCGCCTACACGAGCCTGGTCGACGGCCTGTGCAAGTCGGGAGAGATCGAAGAGGCTCACAAGCTCGTCAAAGAGATGAGCGTCCGGGGATGTAGAACAGGAGTGGTGATGTACAGCAGCCTGGTGAGCGGCTACTGCAGGGCCGGGAACGTCCACAAGGCCAGGGAAATCCTCGCAGAGATGGTCTCCATCAACATGGTTCCGCCGCTCTTCACGTACAACATCGTTCTCGGTGGGCTGATCAAGGACGGCAGCATCTCCAAGGCCGTGAGCTTGATCTCGGACCTGGTCGCTCGGGGCTACGTCCCCGACGTGGTGACTTACAACACTTTGATCGATGGGCTGTGCAAGGCGAACCGAGTGAGAGAAGCTTGTGACTTAGCGGACGAGATGGCGAGCCTCGGGTGTTTTCCAAACGACGTGACGCTGGGGAGCGTGGTTTTTGGGCTGTGCCGGGTGGGAAGAGTGGACGACGCGTGGAGCCTGGTCGTGGAGATGAGCAGGAAGAGGCACGCTCCAAACGTGGTGGTGTATACTTCGCTCATCGATGGCCTGTGCAAGAGCGACCGGATGGACGATGCTTGCGTGGTGCTGGATGCGATGCGAGGCCAGGGCGTTGCGCTGGACGATTTCGCGTACAGGAAACTGATTGTGAGCATGATCCATGGGGGCCGGGTTGCCGAGGCGATGGCGATGTATGACGAGATGGTGGCGAGAGGCTTTCTCCCCGATGGCTCCACATCCAAGACTTTGGAAGAGGCTGCTATGTCAAACTCTGTTTTTGAGTGGACGAACCTGGAAGAAAACGCTTCGAGCGATCGAGTATGAACGATGGCTCCGCCTCCAAAGAGATACGCTGTCAAATGAGTTTGGAACGATCGAGTATGAAAGATGGCTCCACACCCGGAAGAGGCTGCCTCGTCAAATCCTTGGGAGGAAGATTTTTGGAACGATCGAGCATTCCAGTCCCAGTTCCAGTGCTGAAAATCTTCTGAGAACCAAGGATGGAGACACCCATCTTAAAAACTCGAAAAGCAAGCTCTATACAGTTTTCAACACTGCTCTATACAAGGCAGAGTTTTCTTCTCGTCCGCGAGCTCTAGGTACTCCACGAGCTCTACTCCACCTGGATTTGTTTCGGCTCCGGCTTGGCAGTCTTTGGAACGACGATAGTGAGAACCCCGTTCTCCACCTGGGCCTTGATCGCCTCCGTGTTGGCGTTCTTGGGCAGCCGGAACTTCCGCATGAAGCTGCCAAACAGGCGCTCCACCCGGTGCCACTTGTCGGTCTTCTGGGCCTCGTGCATCTTCCTCTCGCCACTGATCTGGAGCGTGCGCCCGTGCTCCACCGTGATCTTCACCTCCTCCTTGCTCAGCCCTGGGAGATCCACCTTGAAGACGTGCGCGTCGGGCGTCTCCAGCCAATCCACGCGGGTGTTGGCGGCGGCGCTCGCGTCCCTGGCTACCTGCTTGGAGGGCTCGTTGCCGCCGCCGCCGGACAAGATGGACGAGAGCTCCAGGAAGGGATCGAAGACACCATTGTCATTGCCGTAGAAGAAGAGCGCCATCACCTCAATCTACTTACTTGAAAGCTAGGAGAGACTGTAAAATCGATAGCTTAAAACGAAGCTAATGGAGGCTTGGAAGAGCTCCACGCCCATTTATACCTCGCAGAGTGGCAGATATCTGGTAAGTTCTATTGACAAATCTGGAAGATTCGTGCCAATACTCTTATTATTTTTTCTGTTCTTCTATTCTGATACAGCCACGTCATCAAAGTAACGGAACGCTAGAAGCAAAGTTCCCCTATATGACCACTATATGCTTTGAAGCAAGATACTGACTAGAAAGTATCTCTCCGGAATTCATTGGAGGCGATCAAGCGGTGCAGCTGCTGGCCCTGGTGCAATCTTTGGATCTGGCACAAGTCTGGAGAAGAGTTGCAAGAGACGTACCTGGGAAACTTGCCGGTGGACATGTATGGCAAATGTGGCTACGATGACGACGCGTGCAGCGCATTCCAGGCCATCCATGTCAAGAACATCTACTCCTGGAACTTTCTCCTCATTTTTCACTCCTCCAGCACCACCCAAGCTAAAGAGATTCTTGATATCATGCCACAGTGGAATCCTGTCTCTTGGAACGTTGTTCTTGGAGCAAATGCCCATTATGGGCATCCGTACCCGACGAAGATCTTGTTTGATTTGTCTCCGGAATGAGACGTGGTGTCTTGGAACGCGCTGGCATTTGCGTTTTCCAACTTCGGTCGCCTTTGTGAAAGCTTGTCTCTCTTTGACAAGATGCCAATTACCAGCTTGGTGTCCTGGAACTCTATCGTTTCGGCGTATACCCGGGATGGTCTCTGCTCGTGAAGCCTTTGACAGAATGCCCGAGCACCATGTCGTGTCCTGGAACTCAGCCTATGCTCAAGAAGGTGACTTAGATCAAGCAGTGATGAAGAACAGCCCTGAAAAGGATGAAGTGTCATGGACTGTGATGATCGAGGGCTTTTGCCCGCTCTGGGCATCTGGAACAAGCGAGGCGCTTTTATCAGATGATGGGCTCGAAAAGCGTTATTGCCAGCACGGCTCTATTATTTCAGGATGGAAACATGCAAGTCACGAAGAGCGTCTTTGACAGCCTCTCATAGAAGGACGTTGTGTGCTGGAATTGTATGCTTGCGGCGTATGTTCACTGTCGCGACCTGGATCACCCAAAAGAGATGTTTGATGGAATGCCTGTTCGGGACGTCGTCTCCTGGAACACCATGCTGGTCGGATTTGGAGACTCTGGAAACTTGATCGCTGCGAGGGAGGCTCACGCTAAAACTCCACAGCACAATGTGGTGTCCTGCAACGCCATGCTCCATGCGTTTGCTCAGGACGAAACCGTGCTCGACGCCGAGAGGAGCTTTGAATCGATGGTCGAGAGGAACCACATAAGCTGGAACAGCCTCCTCCATGCATACGTGATCGCAAAGAAGCTGGACATTCCTTGCCGAGTGTTCTTCATAATCCCTCAGTGGTGCGTAAACTCCTGGACGTCGATGCTGGTTGGATTCTACCAGGCTGGTGATCTTGAGACGGCCAGCATCTGGTTCGAGCGGATGCTGGATCGAAACGTTGTCTCTTGGAACGTGATGATCTGTGCCAACGCTCGCAGCGGCGATGCTCACCAAGCTCTCCGGTTGCTCAAGCTGATTCTCCTGATGCCGCCACCTGTTCTGTCACTGAATCCCTGTGCTGCCATCCCTGATCTTGCGCAGGGCAAGTTGATCCACTCCACGATTCCAGGAAAGATTTTCTTGTCGGACATCAGAACATCAGCATGTATGGCAATTTGGTCGTGTGGATCAAGCGATGGAGGTTTTTGCAAGGATGAGAGCATGATTTGGTCACCTGGAACAGCATGGTGTCGAATGCTCAGACTGGGCATACACTCCAAGTGCTCAAGTTCCACAAAACCATGGAACTCCACGGGATTTTCTCCAACGTGGTTACCTTTGTCAGTGTTCTCACAGCCTGCAGCCATTCCTGTACTTCAGATCCATGGTTGCTGACTATGCAATCGCTCCACTCAGAGACCACTATGTGGCATTGTCGATCTCTTGGGACAAGCACTTTTGCATTGGGCTGGAGAGCTGATGAAGGAGATGCTGTTTGAATTGGAAAGGACCATGCTAATAAATCTTGCTGAAGCCATGATGATGTATTCTTGGGAAGGAATGGGTTTATGACAGGAAGCTAGGGATTGATTGGGAGTGTAATATTTTGCATATTGAAGTTGGTGGTTTGATATTCCATTGATTAATGCTTTAGAATTAGTGAAGTTAGCTAATTTTTTCATGGTATACTTGTTTCTTTCTAATATAATTATGTTTGAGTTGGAGTATGTTTGTATAGGGTTTGTGTGAATTGCATTTATAAGGTGTTTTATGACATTTTTCTGGAGTTGCCTATAAGATTTACTTAGTTCTTGGAGCTACTCTTTATCATTGATAGTTGACTCATATTAATCCCCCTAAAAATGAGTAAATCAATAAATAGCTTGTTAAATACCTTTAGAAGCGCAAATAAACAAGTCTTTTTGGGCTGTTTCACTAGTGATGGTCAAAAATAAAGATGGTATATAATGTCTTTATATGAACTACAAGGGATTAATAATAAGACAATGAAGAATATCTACCCAATCCCCCATATTGATGATTTTCTTTATCATTTATATTCATATGGCCATCTTTGTGTCACCACATCTAGATTTAACAATTCTTGTAAAGGGGAATTAATTGAAGCTTCACACATCATATAAGATAAACTTGATATAGACAACAAGGGGAAGTTTCTTTCTCTTAAAATAGTTAATAGTAGTAAATACATTTGTGGTGTTTAATATTTTACAAAGATTGATCTGAAGCAAGGGTATCATCAAATTTATATCAAACCGGAGGATGTTTCAAAGATGGCATTCTAGACAAGGACAAGTCATTACAAGTATTTGGTGAAGTTTAACAAATGCTCCTGCATTGATGAATCAAGTTTAACACTTTGGAAAGTTTGTGATCAATTACTTTGATGATATTCTAATGTTCAACTGTATAATGGAAGAATATAAAATGTATGTGTGAAGTATTTTACAACTTTTGAAAGATAGTTATCCAAATCTGAGTTTTTTTAAGAGGAGATTGAATATTTTAGGCATTTGATTTTAGTGCATAGTATAAGAATTAATCCTACAAAAATCCAAGTTATGGTTGATTGATCTATACCTTTAACAATACATGATCACCATAGTTTCCTTGGTATGGTTAGAATTTTATCTTAAGTAGCCTCTTGCAATCAAGATAAATGTAAGTGATATTTTTATTGGGGCTATATTAGTTTTAGTTAGCTGTACATGAGCTACAAGTTTGATGCCATACAACAAAATTGGCCTACTTAAGATAAGAAGTTGTATATCATGATTGCTACTATGAAGGAATGGTGATATTATTTATATGAATCAAACTTTTATATGGATTTAGACTATCAGTCTCTTCAATATTTTAATCATCAAAATGATCTTCAAGGCGACCTTACTCATTAGCAAGAGATTTTATAGAAGATGTTCATTACATTTGGTACAAGCATAGAGCATAAAGAATATAATTATAGTGGTTTATAAACTCATCAAATAAATATTAATTGATTGTCATGATATGTTAAGTGTTGGGTATTTGGGGGTATAGAGAATATGTATATTGGTGAAAAAACATTTTTTTTAGCTTAGGAAATGTTGAGAAGTATATACATAGTTATTTGACATGCCAAAATGTCAAAATTAATTATTAGATGTTTGTTGGCCTTTATCATCCTCTATGTGTACCCAAAAACAAGTGGGATAACATTTAATAAACTTATAATTTTCTTTCAATCTCACACGGAAGGATATGGAGAGTTTGTTTTCAAGAAAATTAATTATTTATATTCTTGAGACTGAGAAGGATATAGAAGTGGCTTTCTTGCTAAAGAGAAAAACATATTCTAAAAGTCATTGTATTTTAGGATCATTACTTGGTTGCTTCATTGCTAATAAATGAAACATTTCCAATGCAAATGATGAGATAAAAGAAAATTGTTGTTAAATGGTTTGTTCGACAATAATAATAAAGATGGTGTCATTTCATTTCATATCACTATTTGAAGATAAAAAAAGAAAAAAAATTATTTTAAATCTTGTTTTTGGGACAAATTTATTACTTTTGGCTCAATACTTTCATAAGTGAAGAGATCAAGTTTTCTTTTTTGATAAATAAATTCTCTCTCACAATTTTATATTATATATTATTAACATTTATCATGCATTGTCACTATCTTCCCAAGGATGCTAGTGCATACATATAGGTAAAAAAAAAATTCATTTTCCCATTTGTAGCTTATGATTTATTCTCACAAGCTCATGAAGCTGGAGTGAAATTGATTAGTGCCACAACACACTTTATGTGTGATATAACAAACCAAATAAAGTGATTTTTGGATTTTGTATAGTTTTTTGTATAAAGTGTAAATTGGTATATAGTTATCTAAGTGGTAAGTTTTTGGTATCATTTTTTTTATATAATTTATAGCATTATTTATAAATTTTTATATAGTATTTTTTTACTTTGGTGCACCAATTCTTTCATATGGCTTTTTCACATAACTTTTAATAACCCACATAGTGTATAACTTAGATTATTGTTCACTGATATATTGTTTCGAATAATTATCCACTTAAAGTTTATAGACTATATGACTATTTAAATAAATTACAATGTGATTAATTATTCCTATCACACTCAACCATCCAATCTATAATAAAGTTAAATTCTTTTATACTCAATCTTTTATTTGTAAAAGTTGAATAGTGATATATTTTTGCTATATTGGTAGAGTTGTTATAAGTCTATAGTAACCAATTTCAAATTGCAAAGAAATGATCTTTTAACTTGTACATGCTTGAAAATGTTTATTTATTTATGCAAGTAAGAAAATGACTTAACACCACTCACCAAGAATTGCAAGATAGATATTTCAAATATGTAGATTCTTGGTATATTGTTAAAGCTCTCTAACTATTTTATTTATATAGTTTGCACCAACATAACCTTAACCTAGTTAAAAACAACTTCAGGTAATTGATATAAAATCACATCTAAAACCATATAAAAATGCCATTAAAAACTATCATAGTGAGGGAAAATTCAAACTTCCTTCAATAAACTCATAATAAAAAGATATATATATGATCAAAACACATAAAATCAAGGAGTTAGGATGTCATTTGATATATTTATCTACCTCTAATTTACCTCTAGAAATGTGATATCTAAGAATAAAAAATTAAAAAAAACAAAGTAAACACCAAGTTTTAAATATTGTAATTCAGATATAGGTAATACTTTATTGTGCAGTAAGTTTCAATGTTAACTTCAATCGAGAAGATCATATTGACTAGTGTATAACATCAATTCTTTAAGAACCAAAAATATAAAACATAACAAAAACTATATAATTTTAACGTATCTAGATTATTTAGATCTACAATCACTGCATTTATAATTCTGTTCAAGATGTAGTCATTCACTCAATATCCTTTATAGGAATTCTATCTTTATATTTATTCGGTTTAAGTACATTAGAGATATTTAGTGAATTTCACTAGCACAAGTTTGGTTTAAGTACAATAGAGATATTCAGTAAATTCCATTAGCACAAAAGGGGTTCATAAAGAAATCCAATTGTACCAATCTTTTACCGTCATGATAGTAATAAACAAGTATCCATAAGGATTGGTTGATAAGTATATTTTAACACCTAAAGTCACATTCATGATAATGATATTTAAGAAACTTTTTAGAAGTTTAGAAACCTCAAAACCTACAATCTTAATTAGTGCTTTATTCTTGGATTATTGCTCTTTTCTTTGTTTTTTATTTTTTCTTCATTGTTTTTAATTCTTTCTACCACTTTTCTAGGGTTGAATTCTCAATTTTGTGATTAAATTTCCTCACATCTTTTTCCCTTGATCCTAGAGCTCTAAAACTTCTTCACTTTCCTATCTTTTCTTTGTATTCTATTTGGTTCCTTTTCTTGTAGTAATTACCGATACAGAGTATTACATTAGAGCCTTTAACAATAATTTGGTTATGGGTTCTTATGCACAACAGAGCTTGATGTGATTCCCTATAGTCATCATATAGCATTTGAGTAAGATTCCCTAGAATATTGCAAGTGTAATCCAACAAATGAGTTTCTTTAACCAAAGTCAAGTATACTTGACTAATAGCATTTAGGAATTCTGTCTTTATACTTTTCTGGTTAAATGCACATACGAGGACCAATTTCTCAACTAAATTAAATGGAGACTAGAAAAGGGTATAACAATACCGACCTTCTATTGTTGTGTCAATAAAGAAAGAATATTTATAAGAATTAGCTAAAAAATAACTTTCAATACACATAATCACATTCGTGACAACTTCTTCATGACTGAGGAGTGTTTAATAGTAGTTTAGGGTTTCAAAAAGTTTCATGCATATTTACATGGTTCTCAGGCTGGCTACTTTACTATTAAAGTAAAAGAACTTGATTGATTGTATTGCTAAATAAGCTCTAAAGTCTTAAATATATAACTTTAAAATTGTTCATCATCTAGGATATTCTATTGTTGATATTGATACATTTTTTTAGCTCTTTTCTCTTCTTTTCTTTTGTTTTTGATGAAGTTGTTGTTCCAACCTTAGTAAATTTTTATTGTTAGCAGTTGTTATATTTAATGTTTAGTGTCCACAAAATATGGAACAAAATTTACCTTCTCTTTACAAAAAGTTAAATTGTCAATCTGAAGACTTCATGATGAGTTTAAGAATCTTGCATCATTTGCTAATGATTTGTCATTTTGGCATTTATATTCTTAATATTGCCTTAAGGATGACCTTATTTATTTTGTGAGGACTAATCCTAATAATCATTCATGGTTAGTGGTGTTTCAATCTTTATTCCATGCTTTCTATATGCTTACTATGGCTCTCCTATTCTAAACGGGCACATGGGACATTATCATATGATTAAGAAGCTACATAAATCTTTATTTTACCTAAAGATGTAATATAATATTATCCAGTAAGTGTATAACTGTGTCTAGTGCTAAGTTTATAATACTCCCTCTCATGCTATAAAAAGACAGTTGGAGTCAATTGTAGTTTCACATTTTTTTTAGTTGGTAGCATTTGATTTAATAGGGTTTTTTCCATGGTTAATTGCTTATAACAAGTATGTCATTATTGCCTCTGAATACTTGACTCACTAAGTGGAAGTTAGTGCTTTTGCTAATGTATCTATGACTATTATTAGATACTTCCACTTCAATGAAGTGGTATTGTAACAATTTTGTACAGATGAAATTCTCTTAGATAATGGTCTTGCATTTATGGCTAAAGTATTTCAAATTTTAATATCTTAATCAGTGATACACCACAATTTCATGAGTGTTTGTTATTAACAGATGGATAGGTTAGTAAAATGGCTTGTTCAAAGCAAAGTATGTAAACTTTCAATATTCAACTTGAGATTATTTATTGTCTCTTTAGTATATATATATCATAAGGGTACAAAGTTCCATTAGTGTTTCACTATATAAATTTTTATATGGTATATTGCTATAGCACACCCTATCTCTCTCCCCTTAAGCCAACTAGAAAAGGGGCAATTGCTTAATGAGAGAGCCTTTAGTGGCTATTTTATCCCCATTTATCCTGTAAAGTTCCAAGGATTTACAGTGATCACATGATCCATGATCACATGCATTACACTCACCCCCCCTTTAGAGATGTCAATGTCCTCATTAACTATTAACTAACGACCTCTATTGAGCCAAAAGGAACTAACACCTCCATTTCATCACTGAATCTACCAATCCTTCCATTGTGTAAACCAACTATTTCATGTGAGATAACTAGTCATCCACCCATACCGCAATCCCATGGTAAATACTTCCATTCATGGATACTCCACACAAGAGGAAAGACATATGCATGAATGCTCAATACGTACGATTTCAAATTTAGGGGTAGGAATATACTTTGCTCAAGGGTATATTATATTTTTTAAGTAGCCACTAATCAATGGGAACTATTAACTAACAACCCCTATTAAGCCAAGGGGAACCAGCATACTATAGTCCCGCACTGAATCTACAAATCCTTCCATTATGTAGATTAGTTATTTTATGTAAGATAGCTAGTCATCCACCTATACCACACTCCTATGCACGGTGGATACCTTCATCCATGGATACTCCCACACAAGAGGAAGGACGTACGCATGGATGCCTAATACGTACGATTTTAAATTTAGGGGTAGAAATATACCTTGTTCAAGGGTATATTATATTTTTTAGCCACTAAGGGCTTTCTCATCAAGCAATTGCCCTTTTTCTAGTTGGCTTAAAGGGAGAGAAATAAAGTGTGTTACAGTTGGTATTGGAGCTAATAGCACGGGTTTAATTTCTATTTTATCCCCATTTATCCCCCAAGGTTCCAAGGATCCATGGTGATAATATATCCAAATCTCATCCCATGATCACATGCGTTACAGTTGTTAACAAATTTAAATTTATCTTTAAGATTGCCATAAGTTGCCAATGTTAAGTTCTGAGATTAGTAGAGTTTACTAAACACTTAGGCTATGTATAAGTCGGATAATAATAGCACTATAATTCCCACCATTATTCACCTATAGAGTACAAAATGGATAATTTGGTGTCGCGAATGTGACTTTGGGTATCGAAAGTTACCTGTCGACCAGTCCTTACGGACACTCTTACCTTACTGCCATGAAAGTAGGAGGTCGGTATTTCTGGACCCATTATTAGTCTCCGCCTAAGCTAGTTGAGAAACTGGTCCTCGCGTGTGCACTTGACCAAATGGGCATAAGGACGGAATTCCTAAGTGTTATTAGTCAAGCATACTTGACTTGGTTAGAGAAACTCATTCGTTAACTTGCATTTGTTAGTGTTGGGAACCCCCATGATATTGAGTTTGGTCCCTCAATATTCGCTAAATGATAGCTTACCGTGTCTGCCAAACACCCTCGCTATCATGCCCTTTGTGTTAGTCTCATTTCGGTCCCAAATGCTATTTCTAGATTGTATCTAGATTTGCTCATTTGGCATATCTACGGAATGTAGAGATCGGCCCGAACACAATGGTGTCTGTTCCGTGTCCAAATTCACAATCTAAGGACATTCCATATTTAGTAAGTTTTGAACTTGTCCCAGAGACTAACTCCTGGTACTATGGTACTAAGGGAGGCTTGGGCTGAAAGCCCAAAGCATGTGTTCCT